TCACATTTAAAGGATTTGCCAAATGGATGGTGGCCTCCAGAGAGGATATAATAAATCAGCATGCCTGCCACCTTAATAATAACACATCAGTTTAGGTATTTTTACCAAGGCATCTTTCAGTTAATCAAGTTTTTATGGACCTGTATTACCTGGATGTCAGTGCTTGACTTGTATGATATGACAAATTCTTCTGCTTCTTCTGCTAAAGTCTCTCGAGCCATCCAGCATCTGGTTCCTGCACTGCTTGTATGTAGAGTTGTTTGGCCTTTGAGTAAGCGTCTGCTTATGCCAAAATCAGCTAATCTTGCCCTCCTAGTAACATCTGCAGGAGGCATAAAGTACAAAACTCATGAAAATAAATCATTAATTCATGACATCTGTTTTGTTTTTCCCTGAATTTCAAACATGTCTCACCAATCAGAACGTTCTGGGGTTTGAGATCTCGGTGAAGAATTTTAGGATTTCCGCAGTGAAGCACCTTTAGACTTTCAAGAATTTGTTTTACAAGTTCCTTTAGCATCAGTGGGTCATGGTCATCATTCTTGATATATTCTTCCAAGGTGTATTCACAAAGTTGCAGACAAAGATATCCAAAGTTCTCGTCCTCTGCAGCATCAACATATCGTACGATATAAGGATGATCGAGTTCAGGAAGTCGTAGGATTCCTTCTTCGTTCTTCAGCACGTCATAGTTGCTCTTAGACATTCTCTTAATGGCAACTTCTGTGCCGTCCTCTCTCAGCCCCAAGAAGACTTCAGTACCATCACTTCCCTTCACTATTCTGAATTCTGCATCATTCACATAAATAATGCTTCTGATTCTGGATATTTTACTGTCATCTGTGCCAACAAGTTTCTCCAGTTTTCTCCTCCACCTGTTACTGATTGGAAGCCATTTTTCTTTTTCTGATTTTCCATTGGTGCTGTAGTCAAAAGGCTTTAAATTTGAAGTTGATTCTACAACAGAAACCTTTGTTGTTTGATCAGTTGCTGCAGTGGAAATGTCATCATTTGGGTCTTCTTGCTTTTGGGTCTTTTCCTTCTTTTTCCTTTTCTTTTTCTTCTTCCTGACTAAAGTTGAGGCTGTGTTTCCCTCACATTCTGAGTTTGGTTTACTCAGATATTCTTTCAGACTTCTCAGCACCTCTTTCAGTTTTTCATTCAATTCCATTTCTACAGATGTCAGTATGTCCTCGGGCACTGAAGTTATGGCCACTGATTTAAAAATGTTAGCTGCCTTTTCAGCTGACAGCAGGTTGGCGAATATACCGTATGTGTAGATCCTGATCTCAGTGGAGTGTTGCTCATTTACAAAAGGGAAAACTGTTTTGCATAAGTTCTGTAAAAAGTTGACGTGCCAGTCCTTTGTGCCTTTTGTTTTCTGTGTTATCACATACAGTGTTTGTAGCACTGATGCACAGATGTCAGGTCTCTCTTTTAAGCAAAGCAGTTTCAATAGTTGTGGAATTATAGCTACTGCATGCTCATCTGTTATTTTATCCATTGTGCAGAAAACTGCACTCAAACTTTCAACTGCCCTCCCTACATGTGTCTTAGGGATGTTTGGAAAGCGAGTGGCTGCACCTACAATGTAAGTATTCACATTTCCAGTTTTCTTTAGCCATTTAATACATGCCTGGCAGTATTTATCTTTCCCTCTCCCAGTTACAGTAAAAAGGATTTCAGTCATGGTCAGATGAGACCTAGGATCCTCTAACAACATGTGACTGTTGAACATTTTAAAAACTTCGTCAGGTGTTTTTTCACAAACAGCAATTTCCATATCAAAAAAATGCCTAATTTGGGAACACACTCTATCTCCATTTGATGCAAGGTGATTAATCATCTGAGATATTTTTTTACTGTTAATAAGCCACTGAGGATCATTTATGGGTGGAAGTGTCACCAAAGCGCCAGCAGAGATGAGTCTTTTCATGATATCCTCCCTGTCTTCAAAGGCTGCAACTTGCAGTGGTGTGGGTATCTCTTGTTGCACTGGAGCACTCCTTCCATCTGGGCTAGCTTTTGCCTCGAGCAACAGAGCCACAAAACAAAGTGGTGCTTTAGAATATGAGACATAATGCAAAGGTGTCCACTGGAGTTGAGAAGGTATATTTGGGTCTGCACCCTGACGCACAAGGTAAGAACAGATATCTGTGTTGTGATTTACAACAGCGGAGATCAGTGGGGTTATATAATCACTACACTTGCTACAAGGGTAAACTCCATTAACATTATTGTGCTTCAGTAATTTCTTGAGCTCTTTGAGGTCATTGTTAGTTATGCACTGGATTATAGGATGTGTCTCTGTTGGTGGGGATACTGCCAGATGTAGCTGAGAGATGATATCCATGGTTTTGCTTCACATTGCCTGCGAACGAGAAAGCACTGTCATTAACCAAGTAATATTAAACCAGCTTTACCTAAAATACCTAAAAAATCCTAAAATCCTTAAAACTGGAGTTTAAAGGATGTTTATTTTGATTTTTTTAATAGTTGTTTATAAATGTCTACAGAATCCTAAGATTCTATTTAGACTACAAATGGAGTATTTGTGCAATGCAAAAATAATATTTTGAAAGCATTTAACTGTGTTTTAAAGGGTTTTGCATGTATAACAGGACCTTTTCTTCTCTCCATTCCTTTGTGACTTTGGATTTTTGTGTTATGACATACAGCATCTGGAGAGAAGATGCACAACATCTTGTTACAGTGCAAAACAGTTGCATTTAAAACAAACTGCATCTAAACTCTTTACACATGTCTAAAGTATGTATGGGTAGTTCAGTCAATAAGTAAGTTCTCTTTCAGTTATTTATAGGCTACATGACAAATTTTAAGAAAACTGTTGTTGGATTGGAAGAAATTTTACTTTTGGTGTCAGTGTGGGTGTCTGCTGTTTAAGCTATGATCTCTCAATACAGAATGAGACTAGAGAAATTTACTGTTGGGATTCAGAGATGTTATTCTTCCTTCACATTTCCTGTTGAATGTTTTTTTAATGTAAAGACAAATGTGTGTATGATTATACACTAGGCATATGCACACTTGCCAAAACATTCGGCTTAATATGACTGAATAGGAATCTTAACTTTAAATCTCAGGAGGATGCGCAACGGGAAATACAGGCTGAGAACACTGAAGGCGGTAAAACTTCGGAGCAACACGTACGCTTTGAAGAATTCAGACTTATCCGAGACTTAAGTAAACTTGAAATCCTTTGACGTTGAGTTAAAACAGTAAGTCTACAATGTGTGCTGTTTTTACGCTAACATAAGGATTATTTTGCAATACCGTTATAAAAAACTGTAAGAGAAATAACTTACCGCGCCAAAGGTGAGCAATTCTGCATCTGAGCGATATCTCCCTGCTTCTCGAAGCGGTTCTTCCTCTTTTACGGGTCTTCCGGTTTCAGCAGTGTAATGAAGTCTGTAGTTACTATGAAGTTTTTGGAGAGATTGCTACTCTTGAATGTTTTTGGGCTGGGGGAGCTATCAGGTCTCTCGGTTTATTAAAAACATACAAAAAATAACTTTGGATAAAAAAAACAGATATATTATCAAAGAAAATGACGGTAACAACTTTCAGATTTAGATAGATGCGGTTTAGATGTGGTTTATAAAAAAACCCCCAACAATATGGTTGTAAAAGAAAAAAAAATCAGTCTCAGTGTTTCATGTTGAACGATGTCCTTATTTCTAAAATGCATCAGCACTGCAGAAGGAGCTGTGATGGAGGATGCACAGGTGTGTCCTTGTATTAGATTGGCTGTAGCTTGGATTGTTATGGTTACCATGCAGAGCTCTTTGTTCATTTTCTTCTTTTTCTCCTGCTGTTAGGTTCTGAGGAGATCAGCATGCCATGGTGTCTGACCTTACACAATGCTGTTACTACTGTTAGTGTATCAGCAGTCGTTGCAATTCTCTCACAGTGAAGAAGAAACTGCAACCTTCTTGCCTGAGTCTCTGAGTTTGGCAGTTGAATCAGACTCCCCTTAATCTGAATTTGGGATTAGGTTAGGAAGACTAATTGGGGTAGTCAGCTTCTACTCACTAATTCAACCAAAACAGAGAAAAGTAGAATATCTTAAAAAACAAATCAAGACAAAATAAAATCAGGATTTACAATACAATTTACAAAGCATCCTCGTGATACTGTTTACATGACACAAATAGACTTGAAATTTCAAAATGAAATGTAGTAGGCAAAGAGTCTGTGTTTTTTTCTTTTATAAATTATAAACATAATACATAATATTATTATGTTATAATATATACTAATCATATCTCTTAAATAGCCAAAAAAGTGTGATACCTTAAGGAACTGGGGAAAATTCAAAGTACTTCACAAAACATTCATTAAACTAAACAGATCACCAGAGGAAGCTTAAGTACTGACCATTAAAAACATGGTGGCTCTCAAAAAATATCAATGAGCAAAATGACCTGGACTATAAACAACGTAACAAACAACCACACACTTACTTACGATGCACACTCAAAGAATAAACTCAGCTACATCTGGAATAAACAGTTGCATCAGTCAGACAGTTGCAGAATATGATCAACTAGAACGGAAAACATTTAACTATATGGATCACAATACACAGGACTTGAAATATGAAAGATCCATTTATTAACACAATGTACTGTATGAACCTGCTCCCCAGAATTACTAGACCTACCAGGATCACATCACATTGTGGAATTCTCATAGACAACATTTTTACAAATGACACAGAATTATGAAGTACACACTTATTTAATAAATTAAATATCAGCAAACAAACAAACACATATAACAGTCCAGCAGCTGGGGCAGCAGAAAAAAATGAGTCTTGTAAAGAAAAAAAGAGAGAAATGCTCTGTGACTAAAATACAGAAAATTTCAGTATTTGTATGAGACAATAAATTAAGATAAAGTTTGTAGATTTAAATTTACATTAAATCTTATGTACCTTTTTATACTTTTTATGTTAAATAAAAGTGATTTACATATGTGAAAACAATGAATTGCCTAATAATATGGTGAAACAGTGCTATAATACAATTAATCATAAAATTGTTTTTAAAAAGTGCTGTTATTAATATTTATTAAAAATAAAGTTCCTACTACTACAAACTCCCTGAAAATAATATATCTCATCCTACCAGCATTTGGAAAATGATTACTATAAACACATGCAAAACTTTTCAAACAACTATTCAAACAGAACAAAGTCCCTTAATGCTTTCAATAACATGTCTACTGCTACGAATTGCTTGTGTCTTTTGTTTCCCGTCGGACTGCTTGTTAGACTCTATCAGTAATGGAAAGAGCAGAGGGGTGTGGTATTTCATCACAGCCAGAGGGAGGCACTGTGGAACCATCAAACTACAGGCCCCTGTGCTGATAAGGCAAGAGTTGGGGAATGGCTGCAGTCACAGCATTGTAAGATGTTGAAGGAATAGAAATACTTAACTAAAACCGATAAATCCAAATAGATTAAATCACGGTACTCTTTTTTTTTTCACTTTTATGAATACTAGCTATATTTTCAGGAGAATAGAAGTAGTACTTGTGTAACGGAAGTGCCTGAGATGACTGAGAACCCATGTTCAAGAGGTGACTGAGAAATGTTACTAATTTAAGAAAACTATGAAGGAGTTGATATTCAACAGGTCATAAAGTCAAGAGGTGGAATGACTATCCTGAGCTGAATCAACAGGTGGAAAAGAAGAAATAATTTCAAAGGAGGTAACATAAAAACACTGACACTAGATCTGAGAGAAATAGAGAGAAAATGTGGAAAAAAGATTAGTATATAAAATACAATGTTAAACAAAGCAATTATTCCCTTAAAATGAGATAAATACCATGCATAATCTCTAAAAGTTGATTCTGTTCATCTGGACGTAGCGTTTTGTGGGAGAAA